ACACTACCAACGTTGGAGGACTTACTCGAAGACCTGGATCATTGTTACCCAGCTGTCAGTCTTGTTGGCGATCTTGGTTTCTCCACAGAGACCCATGATTTCTGGGTCCTTCACCATGGCTGAGACCATGTGGGTCAAGCTGTCTGGGAACACCTTTGTATCGGCGTCGACCATGAGAACAATCTCGTAGAAATCCGGCGGGATACCTGTGACATTCCACATGCCATTAAACATCTCGAACTCGAGTTCCGTCATGCGCTCGTCGAACATAACCTTCTGGAGGAAAGACATGAGAATGATCTGACTGTCTCGCTTGCCTCGGTTACCAGGCTTTGACTGAGTCGACTCCTGCTCGGTTCCGCACTTGACAATCACCATCATGGGAACACGCTGCTGCTTGTCTGCCGGGATGATGGAAGTGTTACCATAGTCGTAGAATCCAGTGTATACCTTGGCCATATTGTGTCGCTTGGAGCCAGTGGCCACAGCCACGTAAGAGTAGGGTTGGACCTCGTCCTTGGGAACAACTGGGTCCCTAAGCATGCCTAATACAATCTCTGGCGTGGAGAATTCCTCTCCCTTGCCTTTGATGATACCATCACAGATGACCAGGATCGTTTTGTGGCTGTTCGGGTAGTCGGTCATGGCAACGGAATCCAAAGTTGACCTGATACCCTCTTCACCTTCAGAGTAGCAAGTAACCAGACAAAGACTGTGAGCCAGAGGGTAGCCGAATGGCTGCCAGTCAGGGGGCGGCTGAGGAACAACAGCTTCGTGAATGAAACCAGCAGGACCCGCACCATCGTGATCTGTGGATAGTGTGGAGTAACCGGGATCTTGCTGACCCTGGCCGGGAGGAACCAAGCTAGTCCGACTGGCAGCAGGATTATGCCGAGAGTTATCAGCGCTCAGAGTACCCCCACTACCATTGTGACTTGACTTGTACATCGTGGCAGGATTGGAGCTGGGCATGAGATGAGTTGTCGAGTTCTGACTAGCCATCGTGACATAAATCGGCTTTTGCTTGCTACCAGTGCTGCTGCTCACATTGTACGGGCTCGAGAAACGGGAAGTGGTCGGGAGGAAGCTAGCGCGTTTGCTCGTGCGATCGAGAACGATGGGTTCGGTGATTCGTGGAGCGGGCCGATAGATGTCGTTGGACCAGTCTTCAATCTGTTGATTACGAGTCTTGGGGTCGGAGGACATACTCGTAGTCTGTGCGGCAAACCTGGGTGCCAGGAACCACTGGAAGAACACGGCAAACCCGAACTTGACACCGACGATGGCGAGAATGAAGATCAGGGACACGTAGAGCACGACTTGCGACGCAATACAGCCAACAGTATCAGTGTCGATGCTGCCGACTTTGATAATCTGCGCCAAGCACTTGCCGATCTTCTTCTCCTCCCCGGATTGCAGGTAGTAGGTAAGATCAACACCGCGGACATCGGGATTCGTGCGAAGGTCGTCGAATTGTTTGGGATAGGACACCTGGCTACGGTCGAACCAAGCGAGAAGATCGAGGTCGAGTACAGTTCCCGAGTATATCGCCAGGTTGCGACTCTTGTTCTTCGTATCCTCCCATGTGTAGTACACATCTCCATCACTTCTCAGCGAGTAGAAAGGCTCACGAGCCCTCTTGCTGGTATGGCAAGCCCAGCCCGTGTAATGATCAACGGTCAAATTCGGCGAGGACGAACCATCTTGGTTGAAGGGCGCACAGGGGAAGTACCATCCGAGATCTCCATTGGAGTTTGTTGGAATATCACCATCAGACTTAGCCGTAATCAGTCCTTTACACGCACCGTTGACCTGTTGGAAAAAGAAGCTGCCATCCTGTCCGCCATACTTATGCGGCAAGTCGTAGATAACATTCGAACCCGCGGGGATACCAACAACACCTGCATGTTTCGAGCGGCTCAAGTCATATGCCCTGCCATGAAAGATCATGTAGTTGGAACTGATTTTGTTGGCCTTCAACCGAACCGGGGGCGAGCCACAAACCGTAGCCGTGAAACCGAAGGTCAAGAAACCGACAAAGGCACCGATCATCAGAATGATACTGATCAGGCCGATCTTCTCTCGCCAAGCACTGCGCTGCTCTTTCTCTGGCATGCCAAAGCATTTCAGCACAAAGTCCGGAATGAAGAATGTGAGCACTGCACAATATGTGGGCCACAACTCGGGCGGGCCACTTTGCTCAATGGCCTTCTGACGTCTCTGTTCATCCGCAGCTCCCTTCGACGACCTCCGCGAGCCTCTCTTCTTCTTCTTCGAGCGATGTCTGCTCGGAACCCGCTCCATTGGTTTGTTGACATTACCGCGCGCGCCGTATAAACCATCCTTGCTCTTCATATCCATGCTGCGCGAGCTGTTTGTCTCCGCCTCGCCATCTCTATTATCCAATAACGGATCGTTTCCGCTGGCCGAGGGAAAAGTGGGCATATGGGTTGATCGCTGCCGATAGTGATGATCGGGTTGTTCACGGTCATCTCGCCTGCGCTCTGGTTTGACCATGCTCTTTTTGCGTCTCACATCGCCGCCCCGCTCCATGCGCTCTTCGTCTGTGTCCATACCTCTTCGGTGGCTGGAGTGTCGGCGACGGTGCCGGTGGGAGGGAGAAGTGGGGTCGTCGCTGTAAGTGCCCGAGTCAATATCGCGTCGACGGCGCCGAGAGGGTTCGCGAAATGCGCGGGCTTCTTCGCGCCGAGCTGAGGGCTTGCCTGGCCTCTGCGGCAAAGACATCTCGTTTCTACGGACGTTGATGTCAGTCCGCACTCCGAGCTTGCTCGGCATTCAGTTTGCCAGCGCACTCACTTTAGTTATTGCTCATCAACAGTAGGTTGGGTCGACTGTTCAAAATATAGATCTGTCGGTTGTCGCCTGAAACATGTCAAATGCGTTGACTTGGTCCTCGATAATGCGACCTATGGGCCTCAGCTTCCAAATGTCCGATTTATCGACCAGCAAATAGAGTGGGTTGGTAGTTCTTGAAGGTACGGTCGGCCTGTGCGTGGAGAATAAACAAAGTCCCCACTTGAGAAATCGAATGGAAAACACAAAAGCGAATGTGGTGATAGGCAATGTAAAAGGGAAAGGGAAGTGAGACAAAGACCCTGTACACGGGACTCTAGCGCTCTGGGAGAGGTTAGGCTTGTTTTACCATATTAGGGCCATATTAAGACATATTAAAAATAAATAATCTATTTTCTTTGTCGCCAGGGGCAATATCACAATATCACACGGCCAATTAGACCCACGGTTGAGCCAACTATCTTCCATGGTTAATAAGGTGAGACTAATGGCGAGATTTTAGTTATTTTGTAACAAAAAGGAGAAACCAGCCGAGGAGGCATTTTTCTCTTCTGATCACGGGGTTCAATTTCTATTTTGGGTCAACTAAGACTGTTTATGCTTAGTTCTAGCCTTAGTGGTCTTAGCCGAATAATAACCACGCTAAATAGTCAATTGCCACTTACACTTTAAGAGCATGAATAGTGTAGTCCAATGGACGTAGTCATGGAGACAAAATAAGAGAAAAAGAAAAGACAACACCAAGCTTCCGCATAATTCATTCGCTAACCCATGTGGAAATCCGTAAATAGCTATGTGAGATATCTCGACAGTGCGCCCCATACGAATAATATGGTGTTTCGAGTCGGTGTATTCCATACTCCCTATGGAGTAGCGAGCTTTAGATCAAAGAAAACAGGTTGTAATAGTCGAAGGTAATGCACGCCATATATGTACGAGCCCTTGACAAAACAATAAAACACTTGTACTACTAGCCTAGAGTCCAGCATAGAACGCATTATGTGATAAAAATAGTACTTGGAAGTCGAACATCTGCATTGTCTAGATATAAAATCCAGGATATCCCTGTATGTAGGTACCCCAAGGTCAATGCCAATGTCAATACCAAACCAACCAATATGATCGACGACTGGTAGCCGATCATCACGGCAGTCCGCAGAATCCATACAGCCCATGGTCTCCATGGTGCATATGCACCATTCCGTTCCAAATTCGAAGACCATATCTTGTTTTATGCTCCCCACTCCATAGACGTTCTTGAACCACGAAAAGAACGTGTCACTTCTAGACAATTCCCCTTTTCCATTCACAAATAATCCAATTGAGAAACCAATTTGGCTGCGGATTTGCTGGGAGGGCTACGGTGGAGTCCGGTATCCTTGTCAGGCCACGTTCTTCGGTTCTTACTGGAATGCTGACAGTATCTCTTCGCATGAGATGTAGTACAGCTTCAACTCCGAGGACCCAATACCCAGCTACCAAGACTGTGAGGAATGACTAGTACTATTTGCTCAGGTTAACGGACTCACCCCGTAGCCTATGTCGTCATACGAGATCAGAGCACTTTGCTTTTTGTCTTTGACGGTGTGGTTGACTGCTGCAAGGAGTATGCATTGACAGATGGATATGACCCGTGCGAGGAATTGAAACTCTGTTTTCCAAATGAAATAGGGCTGGTAATAGAGCTGGGAGTAAATAATATATCCTTTTACGCTCAACCTTTCCAATATTAATAAGAACCCTCGGCTTCCATGTAAATTAGGAGCCCATATTTCCACTTCCAACTATATCCACCACGCACCGCGCCCCGGAGTAGTCGGGTATAAATGCCACTAAAAATACTAACCGCTAAAGACAGGGCCGCTTAAAGCTGTGCACGTTGAAAAAGAGGGGATCAAAGGGAGGTCATGTCTTATGCGTTATATGTGTCTCGGAACCTGTTAGGCGACCCGATAGGCATCAACTTTGATTTTTATACGAGAGAATGTGCCAGGCATAATAAGAAACAGATCAAACGGATTTGGAAACTAGTTTTCTTTTTACTCTTCCCCTCGCTTCAACTTTGAAATATCTCTAATAGCGTGTCCACTTTGACTAGCTCTCCCCCATGGATTCCCCCATAAAGTCCTAAACATTTTTCTTCATGGATCTGCAAACTCTCACTTTTAACCTTCCTTAACTCCAACATGGCCAGTTCTGCTGGACACCGGGCCTTGCCTTCTCCCCCACCAGCTTACCTCCGATCATCGCCCCCATTCACCCCATCTCAATCACCACGGACCATCCCCAGACCCCAGAGTTTGAACCTCACCCGCAAACCAGTCCCTTTGCGGACCGAAACCTCTCCCGTCATACAAAATTCCCCGCGCTCGCCAGTCAAAATCGCACATACCGCAGACATCCCAGATGCCTCAAGCGTGCGCATCGAAGGCGCATACAGTGGGCCCACCACACCGCAATCGGAGCTCCCCGAATTCGCAGACATGTCGCTCGAGGGCCCTGTACAGCCGCCTCAGCAAAGCTGGAATCCTGCCCACCCCCCGCGGCGAGACTCAATACAGGCCCCAAACTACACACACTCGCATCCGTACGGTCACACCCCAGCAAGCAGCGGCTCATGGTCGGTGGTAGAGCCGAAAGACGAAGGACATGGAAACCCGAAAAAGAGCGCCTCTTCATTAGAGCGCGAGGGTCAGAGCTGTAATGGCTCTTCGCGGGGAAGCATGGATAGCGTGGCGCTGGCGTCCGACAACTACGAACCCCTGATCTACCACCACCAGCAACAGCCAGCTGGGGCACCTGCAAGGAAAGTCGCACCCAATGCTGGAGATAACCCATCCGGCTCGACGGACAAGCTGGCTGCTAGGCGATCAAGGCTTTCGCGGCCTCTTTCGACATACTCCGTAACCTCAGAGGGTGGTCACCGACGGAACCTCTCCTCATCGCCGTATCTACATGCGCGATCCTCGTCTGGAACCCCCGAAAACAGGTCTTCATCATTCCTCGATTTGCTCAACACATCATACCCGCAGCCAGGCCCAACAGCAGCGCGATTCGACAACTCGCGTCTCCAAGCCTCAGTCGGAAACAACGCCTCTCTTCTTAGCCACAAAGACACATTCGAGATGTACCTAGCAAACGTGAAGAAGACTGACGAGCCAACAGTGCTGTATGAATTCGCCGTGTTCATGATAAACTCGATGCGCCAGATGCCAGCCGTGGACCTCGAAGACTCCAACCCAATCACGCGTGCCCGTCTACTACGCGAATCAAAATCCATCCTCCAGCGCCTCGCAGACCGCAGTTACCCCTTCGCACAGTACTACCTCGGTGATGGGTACGCGTCGGGCCTGTTCAACAAAGGCGTCGAGGACCACGACCGCTCCTTCCCGCTCTTCGTCGCAGCCAGCAAACATGGTCACGTCGAAGCCTGCTACCGCACAGCGCTCTGCTATGAGTTCGGCTGGGGATGCCGTCCCGATGGCACCCGTGCAGTGCAATTCTATCGTCAAGCAGCGTCGAAGAACCACCCGGGCGCCATGATTCGTATGGCGAACGCCTGTATTGCTGGCGATATGGGGCTGGGCAAGCGATACCGCGAGGGAGTCAAATGGATGAAGCGCGCGACCGAGTCCGCAGATACGCAGTATAACGCCGGCCCGTACGAGCTCGGTGTGATGCACGAGAGGGGCTTCGGCGACGATGTCTTCCCCGATGAGACTTATGCAGCGCAGCTGTTCACCAAATCTGCGGAGCTGGGCCATGTGGAGGCTTGCTATCGTCTTGGTGATGCGTATGAACATGGAAAATTGAATTGTCCGCGCGACCCGGCGCTCAGTATCCACTTCTATACCAATGCCGCGCAGAATGGGCATCCGGTGGCGATGATGGCGCTTTGTGCGTGGTACCTTGTTGGTGCGGAGCCTGTGCTCGAGAAGGATGAGAACGAGGCATATGAGTGGGCTTTCCGGGCTGCGAATCTGGGTCTCGCGAAGGCCCAATATGCGGTCGGCTACTTCACTGAAATGGGTATTGGCTGCCGTCGTGATCCTCTCGAGTCCAATGTGTGGTATGTCAAGGCAGCGGACCAGGGCGATGAGCGAGCCAAACATCGAATCGCTACAATTCGGGCTGCAGCAGAGGGTACACATCCAACCGCGGCCAGGCGCAACGGAGGCCGACTTAAGAAAGCCGAGCGCAAGGATCCAAGTCATGGCCAGGGTGAGTAAACCGAATTGGCTGTGTATCCATGCACATTTTTTGCTAACCATATACGATTATCCAGAAACTGAAAACGATAAGCCTGCCAAACAGAAACGATTCGTTATCTTCTAATCTCACCAAACAAAACACATTTATGACCTGATCTGTTCAAGCGATCTAAATTGCACACTTCCAAGCATCTTCACCCCAAGCATGTTACCTTGCGACTCCAGCTAAAACCCCCTCATGAGAACAGTCCACGGACGAAAATACATACATAATCCCATTTACAACCTCTGCATACAACCTCGCGCGGCAAAGCGCGAGCATGAAACCTGTCATTCAACAAGCGATTTGAATCGGAATCTGAATCAATTCACATGCCTATTATTGAAATCTTTTGCGTTTCTCGGGTATCGAGCTGACGTTTCGAATCTGTTTATACCTCTCCTTTTCGTATCCATTCTACATCTTCCATCTCATCTCTCATTTATCAGCGTGGTGGTTTCCATCTGCATTCATTCCTTTGCGCTCATATTCATCTTTTCATGAATCTACTCTGGCTTCCTGGCTTGTTTGTTTTCACCGGCGTTCTAAAATTCTATTCTAACAATACATGATTCTATTCGGGATATTTGTATGCATTTTATCGTATTCCCGGGGTCTTTCGTGCATTCCTAGAGCTGTGCTTAACTAGTTTTGCTACTCGGATTTTTCTTATACATATATTTAGTGAGTTATCTCTCTTGTTGTCCTACGCTGTCGATTCATGTCGGTAAAAGCGGGCACATGACTCTAATCTTCTGAATTGATTTATATCGTACTCTTTTCTACAATATACAAGTAACAGCTCGGTTCTCACCCTGTGCAAATGTTTCATATTCCCAGTTCCCGGCATCATCTCTGCATCCCGGTGCATGCGGGGAATAAATGAGGGTAGGGTTCTCGTTTTCGCTATACCTTGCCCAAGCTGGATAACCAATCACTGGCAGTTTAATATATTCTAGATCATAATTACGGCTCTGTATATCCGACATATTAAATGGAACCTGCTGAGAACTTTATGTATTGATGTGAGAGGTTGGTATATTGGGGAAGGGTGTGAGAAATATATAACTAGTTAGTTGCTAAACAAAAAGAAAATATATCAAGAAAATATCAACAGGGATTTCGCTTTTATTTCGAGGACTTATATATCGTCAAGAAACATAGAAGACCATCTAGGCCCAGATAGGGCTGGTAAATCTGGATCTTCCCTGCCTTGCCCTTGTTAGATTACATGTAGGTAGCTACGTATTTGAGTTAAGCTGGGTTGAGTGGCCAGCTCGTATCCCCTAGATCTCTTTCTTACCTTTCCACCTGCATTTCCACTTGTGACCTTAGAACTTGGGATATGACGACACCTGAGCAGATGGCATTCATAGTTCGCCTAAGGAGGCCATCTCGAGGTTGTGAAGGCCCTGATACAGGCAAATGCTACTGTCAATGCAGCTGTGACCCGGGAATTTGGCCGAACGGCTGTCCAAGCAGCAGCTGAAGCAGGTCATCTTCAGGTGGTGAACGTATTGATACGGAAAGGCGCAGATTTTAATGCGGCCCCAGGGAATACTTTTGGCAGGACTGCCCTCCAAGCCGCAGCCAATGGGTGCCATCTTGAGATCATGGACGCATTGATACAAGCAAACGCTGATGTTAATGCCGCCCCAGGAGAAAGCTTTCGCCAAACTGCCCTGGACGCAGCGGCTAGAAATGGCCATCCTGAAGCTGTAGACACATTAATACAAGCAAATTCTGTTGTCAATATTCCCTTATCCGGCCCGGAAGGAATCCTTGGAAGTCACCAAACAGCCCTCCAAGCAGCAGCCGTAAGTGGACATATTGAAGTTGTGAGAGCATTGTATACACCATCCGCTTCACCTGATTTGGCTATGTATACATGGCTTTGAGATGAGTACTTTTTACACAATTCCTGGTAGCTATACCGTAGCTTAAATGTTAATTACTAGGGTAAATATCTGGGTGGATACATGCGCGACGCTACTCTATAATATAAACGAGTACATCCATAGGCGGAAATGCTATGCACTATAGTAAGCTCTACAGACACGATGCAGTCGGGTACTTGACTCAAACCCATATCAATCAACCAATCAAAGTTCCATTTGCCTGTTGCAGTCTAACTAGGTGCGTATGACTATGCAGGGTCTTCATCCAACTGAAGCAAGAACTCGAGGCCAAACGCTAACTTAAGATCCCACAGTATAGAACATCTCCGACCTCTCCTTGTACACCACTGCAAAAGGTGGTTGCCACGGCCGATGAATTTTTTTGGAATAACCCTTCCAATATAATTCATGGCCGAGTAGCCTATTGCCGCTATCTGGACTTTAGTGAACGCCCGATTGAATTGAAAGTTATGGCCTTTATATATAAAGAGGACTTGCTATCGGGGTTCCTAAGCGTACACGAGTCATCGTTCCCACCGCGGCAGCCTTATAAAGTATTTAACATGTCGATATCCTGCATGTATATTCCCTACGAGATTGGTCTAACAAAGGGCCCGGGGATTATATTACCAAGAATACGCAGCCCTGACACCATCCCTGTAGTGATGCAGGCAACTCCCCATCACACTAAGGACCACTGGGCTGTCACGCTCAGACCCATTAGCCTCTAAGTTTGAGCTGAAAAGCAAACAGCCTGGGTTGTCTCTCTAATCGTGCTGATTATCTCAATTGGTGGGGTTCCCCCGCCGGATGATCTTCATGCCTCTGATCAGTAATCAATCAGCGTAAAAGAATCATCTCATTCAGGTCAGCAATTTCCTCTCCAAATTTATCACGCCATGGGTGTTCATGTGGTATCAAAGCTGGATAACCGCCAGCATGCGAGTTTCAACCTCGAGGTCGCTGCTCAGAGGGAACTATCTGAGTCTTCAGTAAGAATTCGCACGCAACTGATCAGTCTCACTTCGAACAGTTTGACCTATGCTTTAATGGGTGGATTCCTACGTTGGTATGTTCTCAATATCTACCCAGAAAATATGAGACTGTCGGAAAACGGGGTGAAATGAGATTCTCATCAATTACTCGCAGGTGGGACGCGTACCCCGTATCTGAAGACTATCCCGCACCATACAACGACCCAGCAGCATGGGGAATCGTTCCAGCCTGGGGCTATGCCACAGTGGAAGAGACAACCATTCCAGAATTACCCAAAGGAACACTTCTGTTCGGATTCTGGCCCACAACCAACACACCGACCGATCTCAAACTCAAACGCGGCTTACCAGAAGGCCACTGGATCGAGACTAGCGATCATCGCCAGCAACTGATGCCATTGTACAACCGATATACGGTAACTCCGTCATCGACCCCAATCTCCGACCTGACCACTGCGCTCAATCCCCTGTCAGATTCTGCACAGAATGAGCTAGACCGCATGGCCTGGACCGCGCTATTCATTGGCGGAGTAGCTGGGTACGTTCTCAGCGAGTACGTTTTCTCGTCCAACCCAAACCAACCACCCATCCATCCACTGGGAAACCAAGCTGGTTTGCCGTGGACCCAGTCCGACGGGGATTTGTCGTCCGCGATCGTGGTAAACTTGGCCGCATCAACCAACACGGCCCGTGTTTTCTCGTACTACCTGTCGCGAAAACCAGATGGTTCGGCGCCTCTTGGCTTGTTCCAGGTTACATCAGGTGTGTCGCGCGTCGCGGAAGCGAGTCGGAATCTAGCTTCTGTTCCTTCCAAGGCGGTTGGATATGGGGATATTGGATCTGAGGAGAATGCGGAGTGGCTGGCTAGCCGCAAGGCTGAGAAGATTGTTATTGTTGACTTTGGTGGTCGTCCAAATGCCCTCGAAGACACCCTCTCCCTGATTAAGAATCATGCTGAGTTGCAATCTTGTAAGGTTGTCATTGTCCAGGTTGGCAATGAGCAGAAAGTATACTCAATGGAGGAGATGATTGCTGGAAGAGAAGCGACGGCGAAGCTTGGAAAGGTTCAATACAACACTTCTGGTGTTCAAGACACGATACTCGACTCTGTCGACCTGGAAGCCTACTTTACAACAAGGAATGCACGGTGGGAAAGATGGCTAGATGAACGACACTTGAGTGTGCCAGGAAAACAGATTGTGTTTGGCCGCGGTGTCTCTGGTGCTGATGGCGTTGAGGGAGGATGGGATAGACTCTGTCATGGACAAGTAGGACCTGATGAGGGATTGGTGTACAAGATTCAGACTTGAAACTCGACTTTGATTAGTTTGAGCTCAGTATTTGACAGGTAGAATGAGAAGGAATTCATGAAATTAAAAACCCCAAGGCTGTGGGCGTATCCCAAAATCAATACCGGGGTAGAGAAAGAGTAGACAAAAGAATAGTCCAAACTCAAACAGAGTATACGACCTCGTATCGGGGAGAGGACTCGGTGGTGTGAGTAGTGGCACTTTGTTCACTTGATGAACGCGCTGAATTGATCTCCGCTAGCATCGGATGTCCGCATATATCCAGTTGAGCGGCTGTCGAGATCATCAAGTCCGAAAAACGCTCACTATAAGCTGGAGGAGGACTTTGACTTCCCGGCATCTGTTGGATATCTTCCCCACGAATGAACGCATTTTGTCCAATCACATGGGGTGTCATATAAATTTTAAACGGCATAATTTGCGTCATCTGTTTCCTGGTTAGCTTCATGTTATGAAACTTCGACTAGGTTATTTGCATACCACAATTGTAGTATCTCTCCTTTCGCCGCGGAACTCAGCACTAATAGAAAGCTCATGGCTGATCTTGATGTGTCTAGTCGATACACTCTGCGAGCAGGCGTCGAGACTCTGGGGCAGAGAGACGGGTGTGGTGAAACGCCATTCAATTTCCGAAGGACCATCTCCCGAAGACTCATCTCCTTGAGGGAAATCAATGGTCTTGGAGAAAACAGTTTGAGTTTGTGCTGCAGTGATAAACCGTACATTGTGTCGCACTGATTCTGCAGCAGTAGCATCCAACCGCGCAGTCTGTTTCTCAACTACTTTGATGGTAACGGTGTTGAGTGTAGCGTACTTCACCAGCGGTGCAAACCAGCATTCCACGGGAAATGTGCAACCAAAGGGGACGTTCCGGTCAGTGATAGAGAGGCGATACTGGATATTTTCCTTGGAATGACCCTCGAGAGTCTAGATATCTTCAGTTATTTGCATGAATACCACCTTCAATGGAAGACTATACTTACCAACGGACAATGCGGTCTTAAATAGCTTGTCTCAAAATCGAAAACTTGGTAGATCCTAACTGGCTGCGAGACCACGAAATCGCTTTTGAGGCGTCGCTCGATAACAAGCTCCACCCGATATGTGTGGTATTGATTGTTTGCCCCAGTCACCGTGTCGAGAATCTTACTTGGAAGGGGAAAATCGAATAAAAATGCGTGGTCTCCTGCCGGCATTTGGAATGCGTTGAGCATTTTCGAAGAAGCTAGTGGTTGTTCGCGCTCGAAAGTGATCTGGTCGCGGCTTTCTGCTGATCCAAAGACTCCCTCCATTGGGCTATAAACATGGGTAAGGCGATATTCAACAACTACGCGGTGTGAATCCTCACATTGCTAATATTCCCCTCAATCTCACTTTCATACTCTTAATCGAGACAACTTGTGCAAGAGAGAGATTGAACCTTCCAGTAACCGATACTGGATGCCGCTCTTCCGAAATAAAGATGCATGATTGATCAAGACTAATGAAATATGCGTTAGGCTATTATGGAAAAGCCAACCTGAAGAATCATACCTCAACTCCGAGCCGATAATGCGTTCGCGGAACATCGTCAAAAATGCAAACGATATTTACCTTGATAAATTATAAGTGGAATGAAAGATCCAATTGAATATGAGTCGACGAATTAATAAAGAAGGGATCATGGTGCATTGGTTGCCTTTATACTCGTGTCTGCGCGACAGAGCGAAGAGCGGACATTCCTAAACGGGGTCGGGAGGCTAGTTTCAACGACTCGAACCTAACAAGTGCAGCTCTTCACCACAGAAGGAAATGCCGACATTCTTGTTATGCTGTCTAAATACGTAGGTTACAATAACTCGCGAAAATCTCCCAAGGTCAGTCCTGGGGGATTTTCTTGCGATCTTGCTAGGGGCATTCCTTGGTATATAATGGAACATCTTCCCACCATCATATGACTACTACTTTTGACACTATACAATGTATTGGATACTTGAGCTCAGGCATATTACAGTCAAGAAGTACACATAGCATTTGTTCTCATTTACTACACAAGCTGGGTACACACTGATCTAGCGACACACTCCCCACTAAACTACTTAGGGTATATCTTCCGCTGGCCGCTAATTCGTACCACACTATCGGAATTATGATATATGGATTCACACCGCTCTAGACACCATAATAACTACATCAGCATGGTTGAAAACAGCGGCCATCGGGAGACATACCTGAGACAGTTTAGCGGGAAATGTATTTATCTGTGGCCCTTCTCTTCACATCTCATGAGTTTGCAATATTTACTCTGTAGCACTATGGTCAGACAACTGTACACCTTATGCCATATTAAATACAAACAGTACAGAAGAAGCACAAGTCATGTCCTTTCACCTTTGTGCAATTTCCATCAAGCTAGACTGTCACCAAATTCGAAGTCGGCCATGTCGAGATCTAGCAATAATTGATCATTCGAGCAATTTGGGAGACCGACATCAACGAAATTGCCGAAAAAGGTATCAAAATCCTCGATTTCAGTGGCTGCTAATAATGGCGTGGTGTCTACCTCAAAATTAGAAGGTTTGTCCGATCCCAGTCGATGATCAGCCAGAGGGTGTGTGGTCTGAGATCCTGTATGAATCCGTCTCGCCACCTGCACAATGTTGACAGCCGAGTGCGACGGCATGTGATCTGTGGAAATAAGTGGCTGTGAAGATATATGACTTGATTCAAGTAGAGAGTTTGGTCGGGTGATATTGATTTCTGGACCTGTGAAACGTTCTTCGTCTATGGTGGGCTGGATGTTGTTTAACACACGCTGGCCTAGGCGAGCCATGACAGCAGCCGACCACCATGTGGTACCCATTTCCTTGAGGTACTGATGAAATAGACGAATTTGCGAAATGGCTGTGTGGCGTGCGCTTGGCAGTTTGTTTTCTCTGAACTGCTTGTACGTCACCGAGAAGACGAGCGAGATGGTGTAACCGATCATGGGAAACGGCAGGAAGTCCTGAATATCATGATTGCAACTGAGCGACGCGATGGTAAGAATCGAATGACTTTGTCGGATTTTTGATGCTCGTGGCTGTGAACGGCCTTGCAACCCGTTGGAATATGTTGAAAGAATAATCACAGAATGATAAACAAGCTCGAGGGACTCTTTTGGTCTATGGGTTAGACAATGTTGCAACTAAACGACGGAGTGCTTCATACCGAGCAGGTCTGGAGGCATGTCCCAGGCCTCACAGTGCTCCACAATCTCTTCAAAGGAGGGGAGCGCGAGTTCGCTTTGATCCACGCCTTTCATGATCGGTCGGTAGAAGTGAATCACTTCTCCGAGCTTATCGGCAATTCGAAGCCAGACACGAAACGACGATTGGAACGTTGAAACAACGTCATCCACCCCCTGGATCCTGTCTCCGTCGTGTATCATCAAAGGCCTCCCATTCATAGCAGCGTTCCATCGGTCTAGGCTCCACAGACACCAGAAAATACCCTTGGAAGATGTACCAGAGTGTTGGTCTGGTCTCAGCAAATGCAACCCAATGGTCTGGGCATGGTGAATAGCCTGAGCTAGATTCAGAGAACAATCCTCGGACCCAGTGGAGCCCCATTCGTGCAGTGACAGAAGCGCCAAGATTTGTATTGCAAGCACTTTTTTCTCAGCCCTTCTCGAGATGTTTTGCCTAACATCAGTATAGAGGATGTTGCTGAATTTCTCCAGTGGGAGGGGAGTTGGATGGGGTCCAAGGCATAGGAAAGGCACCGCGCTCCGGTCCTTCCCCGCAACAAGACAAATCACTTGCACAAGCCGCGGAGGGAGACTACCCGCTCTGTGCTGGGTTCGCACTTTGTCTTCGTCAAGAAGAGGCAGCAATGGGTGTATCCGACGAAAATATATGTCTATCAAGGCCTCCTGGCAGTCTTTCGAGGGCAGCCAGTCGGGGTGAACATTTGTCCCTGGTGCTGTTTGTGAAGAGGAGCCAGGGGTTCCACCTTGATCAATGGCATTCTCCTCCGCGACCAACCATGCACCTACATCGCCTTTTTGGGATCGACCCTTCTGCAGCCTTGACTCGTTCTGTTCCATGAGAGTCGCTATGGGGTTGGAGTCACACGCAAAACGACGAGACTCTTGACCCGCCTCCGCCGCTGTAGCTGCATCAGAGGCGACAGACGGTTCGACCTCTTGTTCCACCGAAATCTGGAGTGAGGCGACATTTGGTCGCTCACGCCGTGGAGACGCAGATCTATTTCTGACTGCTGGCTCCCGCCTTGAAGTCTGAGATGAAGGACTTTGGCTACCTGTCAGACAAGAGATGTCGGGCGAAGAAGTCCCATCAGATAATTGCTCCCGAGAGGTACTGTGATAACATCGTTTCTAGCAAGGTCAGCGTACAATTCCGGTTGTTATAGGCTATCTAGGACAGTATGCGAGACCTTTTTGTGACGACAAGAGGTACAGGCTCGCCGCACATGTCCCCTCTTGGCATTTGTTCCATCGCGACTTATCAAGAAAGTCAGCTCCATCGTGAATGATTCTCATATGTCTCCTTCATCGTGTCGGCAGGTCGTTGCGGGCCTTTCCTCTCGGGGGCGGGAACGGGCAACACGCCACCGGAGCGGCAACCGTGTCCCAAAGCGGCAAGTCCGACCTCACAGCAGAACGGTTGTAAGTGATAAATATGACCAACTGCCGCTATGAGCCTGAACAATATATCGATACGATAATTTTTATTCCAAATCAAGTCTCACCCAAAATGCAAGGTTCACTGTGTGTGGTGTAGTGTCAGGACCCCGGCAGGCGTTGATGCCCGAGGCTGCCAGGCCATTACAATTACGAGCAGCAACCTCATTTCTCATCCTTGGCGACACCTAACCAATTACAGAGTACTTGACGTACATACGCTGTATGCTGCGCACGGCTAATTCTCGAGGTGCTATTGGCACCCGACCGCCACTCTAGGGTGAGTGTCGGCGATATGAGAGATGTCAAGAAAGGTGAGAACGTGGTGAGAACGTGGTGAGGATTCTCAACATACCTGGCGTAGCTTAGCGAGAAGTGTGCTGCCTGTAAACGACTTTGCTTGTGGCCTTACTCGTCAACTATATGGAAGCCACATTTGTGCATTATTTATTACCTATGATCCCTAGATGATTTCTGTTGGTGTTTTCCCGGTCCCAGAGGATGAACACTTACACAACTCGAGACACTTGGGTAGATAGACTAGCAAGTCAATATCCCTAGTCTTGGGTAGGATGTACCCAATGAGAATGCAATCTCCCAATGTATTTTTATGCACCAATCAAAAACTAAGGGCGTACTATTGCCATCTAGAGCATACTCCGCAATTACGAGCATTTAAGATTGGAGCCTCCCCCGTTCTTCCCCTCTACGAAGAGATATATAACTATGCCTAAATGCCTGAATATGGCCGGACTTTGACCGCTGTTTACACCTCCCTATTCGCTATATTGTCGCCCTATTCCGGCACGGAGTGAAAACAAAGCTTTCTATAGTATATAAATTAATGTATTACCAGATTTGAGCCAGTGAGTATAACGAGCTAATGTACACCACGGTAAAATCTGGTGACATATCATTTTGAGTGGTATGAAAAGCTTCATTTTACATAGACTACATAGATAGCTCCAAGAACTACAGTAATTTGCTTGATAAGCTCTCTGTGATGGTAATCCAGGGATTCTTAGTTCTCTGCCAGGCTATATTCGGGACATAGTTAATCAGGCTATATTGAGGCATCAACTATGCACCCCCTGTGCGCTATGCCCCTTCGTACTCCTCCGCCCCGCCGGCCCGGCCATCCCGCCTGTAAAATTGTTATACTCCGCAGCGCCGCCAGCATCATTCTCAAATTGGGAAATGTCAAACAGTAAAAGTACAAAACAGCCTATCACAGAGTGATCTCCAGGTTGGTGGGATTTGGCTGTGACTTGGCAAAGTACGAAGCAGCCACTAGGAGCTCAGCCCCCACGCCGTAAAATCTATAAAATTTCATGACTTGGACCTCCACTGGAACGAGCCCGGGGAATATCACTGAGAGTCGCCAATTAGATTCAGCATGTTGACCAGAATCCCAGGATCTCACTTGCCAGTAGTGTCAATGGGTTTAGAGGCTGAGCAGAAGGAACTCCGTGTTCAATTTAGCAGCTGTCACCCGTGGACGGTCTGTGAATATTATATAAGTTTAAGGTTCTCAAAAAGGATATGAATCTTATATTCAGGATCCATCCATCCACCCTTTGAGTCCGATATCTCAACCTCTAAGCAAAGATGGGCGACATCGGCCAAGGCTGTTATCCATACAGGCCCGACTGGTATCCATCATACGGATATCGACCAACCAAGGCAGTTGGAATCGCGTTCTGTGCTCTATTTGGGCTATCTATGGCTCTTCATATCGCCCAATTTTGCTGGAAGCGCACGTGGTGGTGCAGTGTCTTTGCTATTGGATGTTTAGGTACTACAGGTCTTCTCCCGAGATCTATACTAGGGAAGCTGACAGTGGTTATCTATAGCTGAACTAATAGGCTGGGCCGGGCGAACCTGGTCCTCTGAATGCCCTTACAATTACACTGCATTTATGATGCAGATCGCGACATTAATCATTGGTGAGCACAACTCAAACTTTGTGGCTTCAGGAATCAAGCACCAATGAGCCTGCTCCTTGATGCCAAGGCATAACCTCCACATTAGCCTTAAACTAACCCAGATCCTAAAAAACAGCCCCAACCTTTTTTACAGCAGGTATCTATATCCTCCTCGGCCGTTTCATCCAAATACTAGGCCGACAACGCGAATCCTCTTTCCTCACCCCAAAGCAATACCTCTGGATTTTCTGCACCTGCGACGTTATATCGCTCGTTATCCAAGCTGTTGGTGGAGGCCTAGCAGCCTCAGCATCAGGAGCATACGGTGGCGACACCGCACCAGGTACGAACACCATGGTGGCAGGAATTGTATTCCAACTCGTGTCGATCTCAATGTTTGGGGTGTGTACTATCGATTTCGTTCGTCGGGTAATAAAACTTGGGCTTCTTCGCTCTATGACAGGGAAAGGGTCTTTTATGACACTAATGGTCACGATGATTATATCCGTGCTCTGTATCTACATCCGGAGTATTTACCGTACCATTGAGCTCGCTCAGGGGTGGACTGGGTATCTTATTACTCATGAGTCGTATTTTATTGGGCTTGATGGTGTACTGATGATTATTGCTGTTGGTATCTTCAATGTGTTTCATCCTGGTTGGTTGCTCCCTTCTGTTGAGGGTCCTGCTCTGCCTATCGTTCAGGCCAGGGAACATAAAGCTATGGAGAGTAGTGACTAGTGGGCCTGGATGAGGATCGATGGTTTTATGGGATTAGTGGAGTGAGGTCTAAGTTCACAACAGACGGAAAGGGATACGAATATAATAGAACTATGAATGGGTTATTGTGCAATATCTCTGTTGTTCGGACTAGGTATGAGAAAGACTGAATGATGTGCCACAGATGCCGCATGAGGGGCTGACTATCCTTGTCTCCATATGAATATGGCCGCATCTCCGGTACATCCTATCCCAAGAGCATGTTTCTCGTCGCCTGAATCCTTTCATTCTCTGAGCTAGCCCCATCCTTGGCGCATCCAGCTCTTTTCAACTCCTCGTTCAGGATTTCCCACTGGCGGTACCGTCGGGGACCCCACGGATCCTGCTGGCTGACGACTTCATCCTCCGCTCTTGTTCGGACTGTCCACCCGTGTAGCATATCACAAATCATAATATTACCTTCGTCTAGATCGTATGGTTTCGCACCGGGCATTGGGGGGAGTCCATTAGCAAATCGAATCCAACTACGCGCCATTTCCTCCCCCTGACGTCGCAGGAAATGGTTTCTGTGGGTAGGGAGACGTCCCGCGAGTGTCATGAACTGGTACATGAGTTCGACAAAATGATGCCCCGTGGTGTAGGAGAAGACCGATCCTGGGAAAGGGTTCTGTAGACCAAAATTCCAGCGATATAAACGCTGGCGACCAATCTGCGCCACCGCGACGGCAACTGAGTGCGCGGGCTCGGAGAAGATCAAGTCTCCCGTTATAACCGTCACATGCTGCCAGAAGAGGCCCTCGTCCATACCCTCATGTATATCGTATGAGTCGAGCACGCGGCGGCCAGACTCTTCACCGAGAATAGTGTAAACTTGTGAAATGTACATGCTAGCAGAGATGTCCCTCATTGGTGTTGTGAACGCAGATCCCTCACACGAGTCGTCGCCAATCATGATGTCGTGGACCCATGAGCAGTTGGCCAGAATCTCGCCTTGATTGGACCAGAAAGGCTGCTGAGGGAAGAACTCACACTCCGGGCCGAAGAAGGGCTTCATCGTACGGAGATTATTCTCACGAATGAAGTCAAGCAAGCGTGACACTGGCACCCCACGGAGGGCCTTGAGCCGCTCTGCACGCGTTGTTCCTGTGATTTCCAGATATGACAGCAGACGGTGATAGAATGTATCAAACTCATCAAGTGTCCAGCTATCTATGGTATTGGGTGTACCACTCTGGAGGATGACTCGGTTGAACAGAGGCACATCCGAACAAGCGTGTATGGAGAGCGAGACAGCGCCGCCCGACTCGCCAAAGGCCGTGATGTTATTTGGATCACCACCAAAGCCTGCGATATATTTCTGGATCCAGAGGAAGCTGTTGCGTTGGTCTCGCAGTCCATAATTGAATGCAGGTTCACCATTCTCCCTGGCCTCGTCGAGTAGATCGTAGCAGGCGATGAAACCTTGCCAGTTCAACCGGTATCCTATAGACACAATCACAACATCCATACCCTCGTGAGCTGCCAGCTCAGTCATCTTGGACGTGTCATGAAGGGCGCTGACATGGCCCTTGCCTTCGATCATACCGCCGCCATGCACATAGACCAGTACTGGCAGGAGTGCTTTGGGGGTTGATAGGCCAGTTTGGTTAAGGGCACTCTTGACGGGTGCAGAAATGGTCAAGTTGAGACAGGCTTGCTCATCGTAGGTGACTGGCTCCTCGCCAGGTACAAATCCTCCTGTCGCACTACCTCTGCCTGTGGGCTGTGGCACTTGCGGACACGCAGCACCATACTGCGTAAATTCGCCACGAGGGCGATCATCAAAGTGGTCCGGGATGTGATCGAGGAGTACGCTTTGGCTGAAACGGGCTGGGATGGTGGCATAAGGGATGGAACGGAAATGCACGATAGGCTCAGTCACAGGCTGTCCATCAGCATGTTGGTGATCAACCAGGCGGCCAGTGAGACTGCCGAGCTGGGGATGATCAAGGGTGAAGGTGGGAGTAGTTGTCATAGTCATTCTCTATTTCCGTCACTGGTGACAATTGTAGTGTCGAAGGACAAGGCCAGAAGGCCCCCCCCCCCCCGACATCACCGGGTGTCAGAAATTAGCGCGGCGGTTCCGGAAGATAAATTACTCGGCATTAGGGTAGTGTTAAGAATTGCCAAGTACTCCGTACGGAGGCCTTCCATAGATCAACCGACCCCACAAAAAGGGGGTGTAGTGGGTGTGCTGCCTGGCTTAGCGTCAGGCAGCAGCCTCATTAATGCCTGATCCATGAGGCCATCAGGTTTGACTGCGTAACAACGCTCTTCTCGTGTTTTTATTTAAAAAGGCTTGTTCCTTCCTGTTTCCTATGCCTATTCTACTTTCATCCCATCTTCCTTCCATGTACTTCGGTCAACTCAGCCTCGTACTCGCTTGACTCTCCCCTCTTCAATCTTTACATCCTACATTCCCATTTTCTACACCTGATACTAGATCTTGTTTTTACAGTTGAGCTACATCATGCCGGCTCAAAGTTTCAAGAAGCTGGTGATTGCCGTGGGCGGGACCTTTCCCAATCTAAAACAAGGTATGAGCCAGAGCCCCCTATTGCCCTGGGGCCGGGGTGGTCTTTGATTAGGTCATCTCCACTATAATTAACTACATGCTGACCAGTCTACTGTTCTTAGCGGACTTGAAGTCGCTTATTGAGAAGAATGGAGCCACATTCAGTACTGCGATCACGGATGATTGTACACATCTCGTGACCACTGAGAAGGATGTAGAGAAACAGACCACCAAATGTGAGTGCATCACCACAACTTACGACAACCTCTGAAGTTTGAAACCCTCTGCGCTTTTTCAATGGTCAAATTATCGCTGTCTCGACACTTAAAGCGGTGATAGGCGGCATCGGGAACGTCAATGGCGATATTTGAGACTCTTGTCTCGGCCCCTGAACACCATTTTCAAGAATGGCAGGCCTAGACGGTGATGGATGGCAAGCACTGGTCAATGTTTCAGACTTTTGAGGTGTCACTATAGAAGCTTGGCATTGTTTTATTAACCGATCGACTAGACAAACAAGCTTTCCAGCTCGCCAATTGTCACATTATCCCACTTGCGTGGCTCCTTGATTCAGACAAGGCGAAGAAACCATTGGCGGAGTCGAAGTATTCCTTCGGCCAAGTCGATCAGGCGTCCCAGGCAGACGACAACGCACACACTAAGACTGCGGACAGCATCGCATCTCTTCCCGCAGACAACAAGCGTATTACCAGGAAGCGAGGTGCAGATGCGGCTTCTGCTGAAAATGATGCCGACAAAACGACAAACGGCGCCCAGAAGAATGGAGCAAACGGCAACGATAAATCCTCCGGGGATAAGAAGCCTGCAAGCAAGAAACGAGGTGCAGATGAAGACACTGGTAAAAACGGTTCCAACAAAAAGACGAAGGACATCCAGAAGACATCCACAAAGGCAATTAATGTCCCAATTGACGAGGGCTTTGAGAGCCTGGGTAAACTGAAGGGTAAGTCTACGATACGAGAGCTCATACGTGGGAGACAAACTGACCCGCTTTGTCACAGATCCCAAGGTATACATTGACAACGCAGGCCTCATCTGGGACGCAACCCTGAGCCAGACTGTGGCAGCCAACAATGCCAACAAATTCTATCGTGTCCAATTGTTGGTCGGTGCGAACTCCAAGTATTTTACCTGGACACGCTGGGGTCGAGTTGGGGAGCATGGACAGTCAGCCTGTCTCGGAAATGGCGATTTGGCAAATGCGATGCAACAGTACGAGAAGAAGTTCAAAGACAAGTCAGGCCTCAAATGGGAGAAACGACTCGATACTCCTAAGCACGGGAAGTATACTTTCCTTGAGCGCAACTATGAAGAGGACGACGAAGACGAAGAGCCTGTCAAAAATGAGAAGACTATCAAGGAAGAAGAGGACGAGCCCATGGCCGAGAGCGCCTTATCAAAAGGGCTTCAAAATCTCATGTCCTTCATCTTCAATCGACAAAACGTTCTCGACACATTGGCTGCAATGTCATACGATGCCAACAAACTGCCACTAGGAAAGTTGAGCGACAGGACTTTGAAAAGTGGATTTTTGGTTCTGAAGGAGATATCCGAGCTCATGACCACACCAAACGTGTCACAAGAAAGATACGGGCTGTCGTTTAATGATGCCATAGAGACATTGAGCAACCGGTATTTCACCTTGATTCCTCATGTCTTTGGCCGCCATCGGCCCCCGACCTTGAACACAAATGCGCAGATCAAGAAGGAAATCGATTTGCTAGAGGCACTGACGGACATGGACGTTGCGAATGAGATCATGGTATCGTCCAAGCAAGACCATGACATTCACCCCCTGGATCGCCAGTTCCAGAGTCTGGGTATGAAGGAGATGACCGAATGTGAGTGAAATCTACAGAGCCTGTAATATCTCACCAAACTGACATTTCCAAGTGGATCCCAAATCAACCGAGTTCACAGAACTCGAGAACTACCTCCAGAACACACGCGGCGAGACACACAGCATGAGTTACAAGGTAGTGAACATCTTTCGCATTGAACGCCAAGGCGAAAATGACCGCTTCAATTCATCCGCCTACGCCAACATCCCGAACAGCGACCGCCGCCTCCTCTGGCACGGATCTCGGAGCACAAACTTCGGTGGTATCCTCAGCCAAGGATTGCGCATCGCACCACCCGAAGCGCCCGTAAACGGCTACATGTTCGGCAAGGGTGTTTATCTAGCAGATATCTCCAGTAAATCCGCAAACTACTGTTGTCCCTATAACAGCGGGGGGATGGGGCTGCTGCTTCTCTGCGATGCGGAGCTCGGTGCGCCTATGCTGGAACTCGACGGAGCCAGCTACAATGCTGGCGAGGAAGCGCGAGCTGCTGGAAAGATTGCGACGCTCGGCAGAGGTTCGAACATTCCTGGGGGGTGGAAGGATTCGGCATGTTTGAATCCGGCCTTGGCGGGTGTGAAGATGCCTGATATGGCCATTGGGGGTGTCAGGGATGATAACCGTCGGGGACTGATATACAACGAGTACATTGTGTACGATGTTGCACAGATACGACAGCGCTATTTGTTCCAGGTTAAGATGAACTGAATGGCTTGCTATTGCATGGAGTATTCGGTTAGTGATGGGGGAGTTATTGAGCGGGACCTACTTTTCTTTGTTAATTAATTTGCTTGTTTCAAAATGTAACATATTGCATATCAGATATTACAATGCTAAGCATGATATTTACAATAAGCAGATCACCTGGTGCGTAAGGTGGCATAATATTGAGAAACAAGATGGAAAACATGAAACCATTTATTTATAAGCTCATCACTGCTCATTCCTTCTTGTTGTCTGTGTTTTCTTTTTCTTTTCCCTCGGGCTTAAGTCCAAATACCAGAGAACGAGGCTTTCCCCAACCGTCACAAGGAAGGAAACGCCATGCGCCAGCATGCTTGCGGGCAAGGAGATAGTTGATAATCCAGTCAGCCATGGGAGGCAGCGAAGGCCGCTGATTACCACTCTCGAATGTGACATCTCGCAGTCCAAGAACCATGGGGAACTATGGGGGGGACCACTTGCTATAGAACATTTTGATTAATTTGAATTCATTCTCTTTGTCCACGAGACATACCTTGTCTTGCTTGGCTACCTCGGCTACACAGCTTTTATACACCTTCAAAGCCTTCGAGTTATAATGAATCATTCGGAGAAGACTGTCAATTTCATCGCCTAGATGATCGCGGAAAGTGGGACCCATCTCTTCGATAAAATTGCGGATAATCGAGGCATCAAAATTCAAAGGTTGCGTCTGGGCGCTATAATCCTGGAGTGTCTTCAACTGTAGCTGAATGTTCCACGTTGTCTCCGAAGAATCCAGGCGTGCCAATCACCTTCTCAAACCCCGGGGACATCATTTCTTCTTCCATAATATGGTGACGAGATACCCAGCCTGTCCAGCACTTAACAAAAAACAGAAAATCCGCGATTTCTTCGTATTGCCGGACATTCTCCGCTTGGTGGTAGATGCTATTCAGACCTTGGAGCATACAATTATGGGTGTATGTCATCTCTTTTGCGATGTAAATGGCCGCATGTTTTGACTGGAGGATTAGACGAATATCATTTTGCGGTAGGATGACACTTACGGCCTTTTCGGTTGTTGGGATTAATGGCCACGGTGTATCGGCCCATATTTGGGCCCCATCAGAGACTCCCACGATAATATTTGAGTCTTCTGAAATAAGTGATTTCGTGATTATTCGGAGATTCATAATTCCAAGCTAAAGGTAACGCACACGTTATTAATCCATAGGGATAAGTGGGATGACGGGGGCTGGGTAGACAAAGAGAGTAAGCAATCTGACATATCCTAGCGAAGCTACCAGTGGCGTTTTCCTTACTTGACTAGTTAAGAAATAAGCCTAATGGCTCGTATAGAAACCTACCCTGCGAACTAATAATAGAAGAAGACCCACCGAAGCGGCTAAATAGTGCACATTGAAGTAGTTATGGGCAAGATAAACAATTTTAACGAAAATAACGGAGAGGTAGCAGTCTGTTGGTCAACTTGAAATAATGTGATGCACAAGCTACCCGCTGTGGAGTCAGTGTCACCGATATCAAAAGGCTTAACGCAGAAAAGCAATGAACTAGAGCCATGGCAGACTCTGGGAAGAAAATTCCCGAATGTAGTTACCTGTCGAGAAATAACTTATTGTAAGCCTTTTTCAACCACTAATCCCTCATCGAGACATTGAAACTATTTATCGACTCAAAGCACGTACAACAACGCCATTACCTGATTCGTGAATTTAATGAAATCAATGACTAGTGTCCTAACCCAATAAAAGCATCTCCCGCATCCATGCAGGATGACATTCAGACTATCCATACCAATGGCGACCGCCGCTCTCTGGCCTGCGTGGGATTTACTTCTTGTTATTCGCACTTAAAACCCAGAGGATGACCATACAATGGAGGACTAGGTAGGACCCAAATTGGAGATAAATATCCAGAGGAATCCGGAGGCAACTACATCAACGACGGAAGGGGATTTTGAGAGCTCGTAATGTCAAGTTTCTTTATTAGAATGGCGCGTGACGAGTTGCTCAACAAATCCACAACCTGGTTTTTTCCATGCTGCGGCTTGTAGGTACCTCTAGACTCAATAGATTCCGGGGTAAACCACGTGCCGTAACCAAGGTTTCCTTTCCTTTTAGTCAGAGCGTTCCTGCGCTAAACCGTATTTGGAGAAACAGGTACATGACTAGCCTATTCAGGACGGACATAGCCTACGACACCCACATCAGGCAACGCGCGTAGACCTCGGGACGTGGGGACGCGGGGCTATGACATGCCGAAGGTCAAGATCCCGACCGAGCAAAAATAAGAAAGGTCATGCGACGCGACATTTATTGAATTAAACCCTCAACATCCTTCAATTCAATTTCCTCCAATTCAATTTCACCCCCCCGCCCGCACCCATCAGCGCTCCTAAACCTCCCGAACACCAAACCACCGCAACCCACCAAAATGACGACCACAATCCCAACCCAAACCCCGCCATCCGCCAAAAAGCCCCAAATCAGCATAATCGGCTCGCTCAACATTGACTTCGTAACAGCAACCCCGCGCTGCCCCGGACCCGGCGAAACCCTCACAGCAACCTCCCTCACCGTCTCAGCAGGCGGCAAAGGCGGAAACCAAGCCGTCGCATGCGGCCGCTCCTCCTTCACATCCCAAACCACCCAAGATGTATCCGTGAACATGATCGGTGCCGTCGGCGCTGAGGACCCATACTACTCTACCCTCCTACAACCAGCCCTTGAGAAATCCGGCGTCGACACAACATCCATCGAGCAATCGACTGTCGCGCAAACCGGGTCGGCTAGCATCATCGTGGAAGAAGCTATCGGCGGCGAGAACAGGATTCTCGTCGTCCCTGGCGCAAACCATGCCGGATTGCTGAGTTCCGTGGATAATATTCTCGCTGCGCTTAAGAGCCAGTCGAATCCCGATATTGTCGTTTTGCAGGGTGAGATCCCGCGCACCACGACACTGGGATTGTTGGAATATTTCAATGATGATTCCGCCTCGGACCGCGCAAAAGTGGTGTTCAATCCCGCGCCCGTGTTTCCAGAGGGAATCCCTCTTTCGGCGCTGCGCGGAACCGCCGTGCTTATTATGAACGAGACGGAGGTTGTGCAGATGGCGCGGTCAATTGAGGGTCTTCCTGTTGGGGATGTTGTTGAGGGAGATGATTTACGACCCGAGGAATTGGCGCCGCAGTTTCATGAGAAAGCGGGTGTTGAGATTGTTCTCATTACCCTCGGCGCTAAGGGCGTTTATTTCTCGACCAAGACAGGTCGCACTGGTATCGTTGCCGGTGTTAAGGTTGCGAAGGTTGTTGATACCACTGCGGCGGGTGATACGTTTGTTGGGTATTTCGCAACTGCCGTGGCGCGTTTCTTGGCTACGGGACGCAGCTTGGGCGCGTTTGATAATGATATCGAGGCCGCTGTTTCGACGGCGAATGCTGCTGCTGCTATGTGTGTGCAGCGACGAGGTGCGATGCAGAGCATTCCCTTTGCGTACGATATGGAATGAAGGAATACGATGATGGAATGTGAATATGGGTACCATTGATGAACAGAAAAGAGTTATAGATACGGCGTCTTGGGTATAATTATGAAATCATAGCGTCAGCTTCATCATCGAATTCCTCTTCGTATCGTGCCAGGTTCCATGCCGCTTGAAGCTCCTCGGTCTCTAGGTCTAATTTGATGCCCGTTGTAGCCGTGATCCTAGAAAAACGGTCCAATAAAACGGCTTGTTGAGATTCATGTGTCATCTCCTTGGCAATAGTCAGAAGACTCGCAACTAATATCGGATCCCATTGTTCGGGAGAGTCATTGCTTGCTGCGATCCCGGCGATAGACTGCGCATGCCATATATGTGACGTCACGGACCTTGGTCCGGGCAGTGATTTCAGAAGCCGTGGCTTATGTGTGAGCAATAGGAGAGATATCATGTGGTAGACAGCGTTGGCGACCAGCGCCATTGGCGTCGTGTAGATGAGGATTGGGAATGAAGAGTCGTGGTCTGGGTCGATTTGGTCAGCTTCGCTGCCGCGGATGTCGACGATCTGTTGCACGTTGACTGGTCGATCGTTGTACCATTTCTGGCAGTCTGACCAGAGGAATGTCCACTGTGATAAGGAGTGCGATTGCCGTAAAGAGGGGAATGCTGCCAGATCTGACGATGCGACAGTACGGGGAGGGGACATTTCTGGATCCCCGTGAATTAGGGCTAGACAGTGTCCCAGAAGACACAGTATGTGCTTGTAAACGGAATTGACTGTCTGAGGACGCATGGGTTGTGGGTGGTGTAATAAGGTGCCATCTCGTCGTAATAATGATCGAAAGGGCATAAGTGGTGGTTTTGAAGAGGATATCGAGCCTGCGAGATCTGTAAGAAAGCCCCACTGGTTAGTCTACTAGCTAGTTTATTCAGGTCGTTGGAGGTTGCCCTACCGAGTCGAAAGTAAAGCCACAACAAGGCCTCCCCAACCTCTTCACCCACTGCTCGTGACGCAAAGTCACTTATATGTTCTATTCTGTGAATCAAAAGACTTCTCCACTGCTGCGGTCCAACAGGCAGAGCATCTTGAAGCATCAAAAGGGTATGACCAGCATATCTAGCCAGATCATATTCAAGCGCAAGACCCTCTTCCGCTTCCTTTCGGAACTGCTGACTGCTTTCCAGGTCCTTGATATTCGGGGATGCCACGAGAAGTCGTTGACTTGAAGACAGCGCAAGGACCGCAGCTTGCAGGGCTCTGTTGGTTCGAGAGAGTAGAAGGACATGTAAGCCGAACGGGAGCTCAGGGTCCCCGGTATCGATCCAAGGACCAACGTGGTACCGAAAATGTCGAAGCAAGTCAGTTTCATGACTGCCACTTGCAAGTGCCCCTCGTCGCACCACTGTCCTATCGCTAGTGACAGATCGGTATCCGAAGTACGGAGCACTGTTCATGTATCGAGTATGCGGCGCACGCCGTTCACGGACAAACGGGATTGGAGGTTCAGAAAAGTCCACACGGGGCACTGCCGGTGACAATATGCTTTGCAATTCAAAGGTGCGGCCTGTATCCCCAGGGTCATCTGGGCCATCAGCCGAAGACTGCAATCCGTCTAAAGAGAACCCAGCATTGCCATCGCTCTGGGAATCATCTGCAGGCTTTGGTGGGGCCTTTGATTTCTCCTTATTTGCAGTTGCAAAGGGCGATTCATCGACGAACTAGTCAACATCAGCCTCATGGCCATACCTTATCGTCAAGTGGACTCGAAACTCAAACTCATTGTGGGGCACTTACTGTGATACTGCTATACGCTTGCCTCGACGCACGGGAAGCACCCCCCTCGCGCTGTGGTACAAATGCGAGATCAGAGCTATATTTACACTCGAACCCTTTTACCTCACAGTTGGCACATCTTGGTTTCTGCTCATCACCTACGTTAAACCGTCAGTTCGGATCGCGGGGAAAAAAAAACCCCCACGTGACGCGTACATTTTCTCCTCCTTTTCCGACAAGTTAGGCAACCAGTCCGAACCCGCTGCTTAGCCGTCGGTGTGGGTTTCCTAGGCATTGCGAGACGCGATATATGGCATTACCCCAGACGTTGCAGAAACGAAGGGTCGGAGGCTCCGCAGTCCCGATATGTGCTTGACTGCCGGTGAGAATTTAGGTGGGGCGACTGGGGTCAAGCCGACGGTTTACGGACGCTTGGGATGGGTTGGTCAGCCCTAACTCATTTGAGAAGCAATGTTCTTGAAGATGGGCTTTATGTCCATTTTCACCCCAAGCCCACTCACGGGACCTTTTGTGGTTTGATCTCATAAGGAATCGCCGATTCTGCCTCCAGGGTACTGCGATCATGAATATGAGATACCAGCCGGGGTAGTTCATTGATATCAGATCTTGTCTCCATTTTTCTTGTGACATTTACTAGGGAATATGCGGTTCGGGATTTCACAGTATGTCTTGATACGTAGGGCTTTGGGGTAGGGATTGGATTTTTACCGATCAGCTCGTAATATCGAACAAGCATCTTCTAGTAGTACTAGGTCACCGAGTCCAATCCAGATCCAGTACTCCTGAGTAAGGGTGGGATGGTAAGACAACTACGTGGAGAAATTTGAGAGAGACAACACAGAAACTCAATTAGTCATTTAAGGAAAAGAATTCAATCTCGACCATCTTCGCCTACCTGCGGTCTAATGAAAAAAGGGTGTTAGCGATCTATTGTTAACTGCTTCAGATATAGATATCCAAAGCCAACAAGCAGTTGATAGGCGCTCGGGCGGGTTTCCAATGGGAACTTACTCTTGTGCCTTCCCTCCACCCACGGGGGCAGAGAAGACAGCACTGCCGCGACAAATGGCCCCTCGATGTGGCCGGCAGGAGGGTCTCCTTTCCCTGTACTTGGCTCATAGGCCCGCGCCTAACATCGGGTGGTCTAAGCAGAGCGATCCCAGCAAGCCGCCAACCTCTTTCCCAAGGAAGTAATGTAAATGAAATCATGTGATTCTGTGATCACGTAGATCGTGATATAGGCCTATGCAATGTATCCCTTGAATACCATTGGCTAGGGGCGGCAAAGCATTTTCGGTCCGATCTGGTCCCAATTATGGAGAACCCATACCAGGATCCAAAGTACCAACCTCGTGGGAACCCTGGGAACAATAACGTCCTGTTTCATACAGTGACGGGAGTCAGAATACACTCGGGATATGTTTTCACGGTCAAGACCGACAACAAGGACCAACAACCACTACCCTCTATGGAACTCTTAGAACTGAGATGGCATCTGTCTCGCATTGCGTGTATGCAGGGCAGAGGCAAGGACGAAGATAGTGAGTACGAGTCTGATAGCGACTCTGTTTCCGTCCGTTCAGGCTCGCGATCACCCTACTAAGAAATCTGCTGCTTCCCGGGAGAACATACCTTTCAGTCTCCCCGCCAGGTCCCCAGAAGCCCTCGAAGCTACAGAATGTGACTTTCGGTGGTTTCAGTTCCTTTACCGTGGAGTGAGTGGCTAGCTTCGGCTTTGTCCTTCTCCTGGCGGAGACATCACTCGGTTAGTTAACTTGTTTCTGTAGGCGATCAAACGCCACCCGATCATCTGAGATCTAACAATAAACCATCGCACGCTTAATATAGGGCTCTACAAAGTGGATCAAAGATCTGCACATGTACGAAGGGGCATAGTGCTCAGGGTCGTATACGCCCGTTTGATGCCCTAATGCCCGAGTTTGGCCTAAATATAGGCCACCCTTATTACACCTCTTCATACGGTATATTGTAAATCATCAATCCATTCCGAGAAAAATCAGCCTAGCGAAGGATCTATAACTCTTCTCTCACTTTTCTCCCGCTTTGCTCTCACCTTTACTTCATTTTTACTTGACAATTGTTTCATTAACAAAAGTATATTTGTTATACTACTTAACCCGTAGCAGAAATTCTGGCGGCAAGCTATAGAATTTAACCTAAACTTTCAGGCTAGATCAAAATGAGTGCATGCGACCCCCCCTGAGCGCTATGCCGCTTCGTATACATGAAAGAAGTAACTTCGTAAACGTTCAATATAATAAACTAAATGTAACATTAATGCAAGGCCCATTTTTATACAGCCCGCTAAACCTTCTCAATATACTGCGAGCCCTGATTTTTTTCGAGATCGTCACCATTTCCGGACATACGCGCAAGGAATGAAGTCAAGCCAACATCGCGCTGCGCTTCACGGAGAAGTTCAGCATCCTGCTCGCCGGCATTACTCTTGAACACACGATCCATGTCTTCGAGGGATGTGCCCTTGGTTTCGGGCAGGAAGAACCAAACCCAGACCATTCCGCAGGCAAGGAAAGCAGCGAAGAAGATGTAAGTACCCCATTCCCAGCTCTGGAGCATAGGGGGAACAAAGAACGCGATAGCGAAGTTATTGATCCAGTTACTGAAGGCACCGATGGAGGCACCCTTTGCGCGAATGGAGAGAGGGAAAATCTCGGAAATGAGGGTCCATGAGACAGGGCCCCAGGTGGCACCGAAGCTTGCGATATAGAGCCAGATCAAAGCTAGAACGAATAAGTTAGCGATTATAGTCATAGGTAGGGGGAAAATAGTAACGTACCAACAGCGGTCCAGCCGGCTGCCACATGGTTAGGCCAGTCGTGTTGGAACTTGGCCACAATCACGCCGACGATAACCATGCTGAGGAGCATGACCAGTGATCCACCGAGGAGCATGGGCTTGCGGCCAAACTTGTCGATGACCAACATTCCAGGGATGGTACTGATGAGGAAAACAACACCGGTCACACCTGTTGCCAGAAGAGCAATGGTACCGCCGGTGAGACCGAGACTGACGAAGACATTGGAAGCGTAGTAAATAACTAGTGGATAATGTTAGCCAGACACTCGCAATATCTCTGACATGTCAACTTACTAGCATCGATACCACTCCATTGCTGGAAGAACATAATCAACCAAGCGATGCAAACACGCTTGAAGTTATCCATCGAACGGAAGCAGTTGGTATACTGCATGATCTGGTTCATGAAGACATTCTTCTTCTCCTTGTCGGCAAGCTTCGGCGAAGCGATAGCAAACGCACGCTCCTCAAACACAGCCTCTGCCTTAATCTCAAGGTACTCCATTTGGACAAGCTCATGATCAACAGTGAGCTTACGCATCCAAGCGATAGTATCCTGCGCCTCCTGATCACGACCCTGCTTAACCAGCCAGCGAGGCGAGAAAGGCATAAACCAAATACCACAAGCAAGGGCAATAGCAGGAATACCCTGAATGATAGAAGGCAAACGCCAAGCAAGATCTGACTGATCAGCCCCGGTACCACCGATATTGTTACTACCGTAGCCAACCCAGAAAGAAATCATGATTCCGAGAATCGTAGCGAACTGGTAGAAAGAGACGAGCAGACCACGCATTTCGGGAGCTGCGAGCTCGGCGTTATAGAGAGGCCCCACACCACTGAACAAGCCGACGCCAAGGCCGGTGAAGAATCGGCCCGCGTACAACAAGGCCGGGTTGCCGGCCGTCGCGCCGATGTACAGGTAACTTCCGAGAATGACCCAGCAGCAGGCAAAGAACATTGTGTATTTGCGGGAGTAGACTTCGCCCAGGATACCAGCTGCCAGGGAGCCGACAATACCGCCCAATTGCAGGACGGAGGTTAGCCAGCCTGTTGCGGTGGAGGAGGCTACTACTGTTGGGAAGTTCTCTGTGAAGCGGGTCATGACCAGGGACTGGCCGAGGACACCTTGTTGGTAGCCATATTCGAAACCACCGAATCTTTGGGATGTGAGTATTTGGATTGTGAATTTGGATGTGGGGGAGTTCTTACGAGGCGAAGAAGGCAATGGCTAGGACTTTAGGGTTGTCGAAGATAGACTGCCACATGGATTTTTTTGCGAGTTGGACTCGTGAGATAGACTCCACATCAGTGGATGATCGAATTGTCATGTTGGGCAATATTGGAGGGGAATGTCCAAAGTAGCACTAGGAGATGAAATCTGGGGAATTGAAAACATGGGGGAATCAGGATCTCAATATATACGCTCATTTTTTGGATTGATTAGAACCGAATTAGTTTAATTCTGTCATAATCCGAGTGGCACCACGTGCGAAGGAAAAAAAAAAAACTCCTCAATCCCCATTCAACTTCTCCAGTTTCTCGTAAAATCCCCCCCGGAACCCCAAATTTTGTTCCTGTGGGGGGCAAAATGGTGGAGGAACTGGTTCGCTAAACTGTTTTGGGCGGTACGTAGCCTCCAATCTCCCAGAAGGGCTGCGATAGTGGGGACGGGATAAAAGTGGATGTTCTCGGGATGAATCGGTTTCTTGTTTTTCTTCGGGCCCTGAACGGGCTAGGCCGACTTGGGCTATGACTCGGTCTCACTCGGCCTGAACAGTGTGGAGTGGCCTGTTGTGTCTTTTTGGAAAACCAGAGCTACTCTCGCGAGATCCCTCCTGATCGGGATGCTGTCATGTACAGGTTGAGAATGTTGAGTATCACGGGATGTGATGTTTTTGTTGAATTAAGTGCATTTAACAGTGCGTTCTATACTCTATACAATATACCGTTTCTTTGGCCTTGTGATGCATGGGTCCACATCGGTTCCGCTGCTATGCAGCGCATTGCTCACTTTCGTCACAAGCGGGCTTGCAGTACCCCATGCCCCGGATAAAAACTAGGCCATCGAGGACAATGATTGGCATACGGTAGAATTTGTGCCGTACCTTATAGCCCGAGACGGTTCTAGGCTTGGACGCTATTGAGAGATTAGCCTGCATACATCATCACGATAATGTGCAATGACGAAACCCCGATGGGGACCCAGACACAGCCGGCTTCCGCAGATGGCACTGCAACCGGTCGCGGCTCCTTTGTATGCCGGAAATCTAAGGTGCACTCGAGTCTACTAGGACGTAATACGGCCAGTCGCTGATCGACACACCCAAGTGTCTCTAGGTATGGGAGATGATACACAATAACCTGCCCTTGGGGCATTTGCGCCGGAGAGATGTTGGAAGTCGAGGGCAATGACCCGAGTTCGGGTCCGATAACCCTGTCAAGGCTTCCCCACGGGCCGACGGGAGAACTCGACTTCGGGTGCAGATGGCCCACAAGTATCCCGGGTATCCATCTACTCCGCTAGAACATTGACCAATATCGCGCTTGCTGTGGTTAGGGATCCGCCGTTTGCGTCACTTGCCAAGGACCTGGAGACTAAGGGTGGATATGTTGATTTGAGTATGCTGGAGGCCACCGGTAGGTGAGTCATTTTTCTGTACTTCGATTTCAAGGCTGGTTTGTGGTTGGTTTTACCGTTGACATGAATGAATTTCACTAGATCGATTTCAAGATCGATCCCAAAGTCTCCAAGATCGCCCTGATAGCTGAGCTCCCCAACATTGCCATCGCTGGCAATATTGTTAACCAGATGTTCCCGACTTTGAAGTCCGTAGAAGTCCACTCCATCATTACGACCTACCACCCTCTCTTGGATGGCACAGCAGCCCCTGCGTTGATGATTGATGCATCTCTGTCTGTCAATCAGACTTCCAACATGCCAATGGGGTCATTTGATTCTGCGGGTATGGCTAGGAACCTCGTATCCCAAGACTTGTGCCGATTTGAAGTAGGACCGGTTGGAGGTGTGAGCTTGTCTTGTCTTCCGAGTATTTTGGACTGGCTTGAACCCAGAGAGGGGCCTCGGATCGGTGTATAGATCGGTTGCGATGTGTCTCACCAATTTTATCATTTGTGTGACCAATTCGTCGCAGGTAGTTCGCTGGTCGTTGGACTGCAGTTCGAATATCGTAGGGTCACAGTTTGGTCGGAACAAATGCAAGGCACTGAACCGTAATAGAATTGGAACTGTACGTCTGGATCAAGCCCTCAAATGACACCCGAGATCTCCCCCGGTTCATACCCCCAAGCTCTCTCAAGGTCCTTGAGTCGCCACAGGGCACCCCACCCAGTCGTGCGCTCAATAATTTTGAACAGCTTCGCAACCTCAACATGCTCACTATGGTGGCTGAGTAACTTCCCGGCAATGTAAAGCGGCTGAATAGCGTTGATCAAATTCCCGCTATGAGGATTCGTCAACGAGATCCCACACACCCTACGAGCATGCCAAATAGCCGAAAAATGCGGCTTCGAAGGAGGCGGGCCCCTTTCAACGGGTCTCATATCCAGCATCATAATAGACGCAGCATGGTATAACTGATTGCCGGAAATAGCCGCCCAATGCGCAAATAGAATCTCCGGAAAGATATGCCCACTACCCATCCCCGTAGTCTTAATAGGCAACATGGCAGGTGGACGCTGTTCAAGCCAATACTGCAGCTCTTCCCAAAGCCGGCTCCACTGCTCAGAAAATGGGCGCCGGTCATCAGATGCCTCCCCCAATTCCAAGAACCGCGTTCGTCGACAAGAGAGGTCGCAGGTCTTCGCGCACAGATAAACCGCCCAATTAGCGTGCATATCGGCTGACACATGGCCCTTCTGGCAAAACGAATCCCGGATAATATCCTCCTGCGCCTCCTTCGAGGAAGCCTGCGGCATGGCAGGGACCCATTTGTCCAGCGGGAGGACTGTGCTCTCAGCGCCGTTGGAGATTATCGCGCCGCACAGCTCCATGCGCGCGTAACACCAGAACACAGCTTGCAAGTGCCCTCCTGAGAGGCCGTTCACGTTAAATGAGTCGAAGAGCGCAGCGCATCCCTCCACGTGCCGTCGCCAGTCACGCGGACTGACGGACATTAGTTCCATCACGGCGAGGATGCATACTGTCACGAGGACATTTGGGTCTTTTGCTTGGAGCAATGGTGCCAGGAGGCGAATGGACTCTTGGTACAGCTCGAGGCTGTCGTATGCTTTGTCCAGGCAGGCTTTTCGTTCTGTTTGCCGTGCGGAGAAGGCAAGGATTGCGTAGAACAGGGCTGGTGAGCCTTGTGCTAGAATTGGGACGTGGACACCAAAATGGCGCGCCTCGTCGAATTTATCGAGGTAGGGCGCACATTCTGTGATCCAGTTTTTTAGGTAGAAGATTAGTCTGATTTTGGGGATTGAGAGAGCCCGCGTGAAGTCTAGGCTTTGGCGTGGGGGTCGCGGCTGCGGCCCTTCTGTTGGTTCTAGCGGAGCTGGGGATGTGTAGTTTGCTGGCTCGAGGCTTGCTACTGCGGAAAAAAGTACACAGCGGAGTTCTTCTTGTAACTCGAGGAATCTGGGGTTGGCGGCGTAGTCGTCTGCGCTGGAGAATGTTCCCGGCGATAAGAAGGCCTCTTCTTCGATAAGCGGGGTGGCGCTGTTGAAGGTGTCTGGCATCCTTGATTCAGGACGTGATGGAGGGACTGATTCCTCCATGTTGGATGTTTGTATGCAGAGACTAGAGAGTCTGGGGATTTTCTGGGGTAGAAGGAAGAAAAAAAAAGCGGACAATGCCCGAAGAAAGCCCGTAGAAAAATACCTCCCAGCCTTGGAAGGCTTGGAATGACAACGCCACTTGGTCGCGGAACCCATCGGATCTATTTCATTCAGGCACGAGGCTTTATATGAATAACCCTCTTGATTTTCATTTTGTTAAGGGGATCCAAGGTTATATAATAATTATTTGTTCGGATGGTCAATTATATATCTCCAACTCCGTGTGCGAATACAACGGCTGCAGATAATAAACATCTTGAGTTGTCATAACTGCAGACTTTCTCTATCCTGAACGTATCGTTGAACATCGAATCATTACTTAGGGACAATAATCGACAGCACCCACGTCGCCGCCCCACTCAATGCACCACATCTACAATCCGCCTTGGCGTTGTCGGCTCTAACAAGCTCCGAGTAGGATCAGCAAGCCATGCGAGATGTCTCCCTAGAGATCCTTGGCAGAGACCATAGGTATTATCCATCTCAATCCTCTTCTTCGACACTCGCGGTCCATCATCACCAAGAGTACCGTAGGGCCTCAGCGGTTCAATCAACCGTTCATATCGCATGGTCCTGGACACTGGCACATATTCGCAGACAGATTGCTTTTCAATACGCCGAATCACCTTGATTAACCGAGTAACTGATAAGTTTTGTGATGGACTGACATGATATCCCAATTGCAATACCCCAAGATAATCAGTGCTCCCAGTTTATTCGACTCAATCACATCAGCCGCTGAATCCAAGCAATTCTTAATCATCCCCTCAAGGTATTTGCATAAACCACCTCGAATGCCGCGAAGTATAACATTTTCACGCTGTTTCCGCATGGTATCGAGACGAAGATCAACGAAATCATTGACATAAACAGCATGGTATGGACCCGTAGGATAAGGCGTTTACAAGACCGTGAAACGCACATGCCTTTATTGGCACCTTCTTTTTAAAAATAAACTCGGTATAGTGTATCGCTGCAAACGAGCCCTTCGACACCGTCTACTATCAGTTGCCAAGAGAGGTATCACAGAAGCGCCAACTCTAATGCATTAAGAACAACCATTGGAGAGCTGTGGACATACTATCAACAAAACCTGGTCATCAGTTTTCAAGTAATATTCGGATAGACCTTGTTGCTTGCCATACTAGCAGTTTCCAGCTTTTCCAGAAGAGTCTTAGCCAGTCGCTCAATACGAAGCTTGAAGAATATTTCTGGGTCATGGTTGCCGAGGTCAAGTCCCAATGGACCCGCCACCTGCTTCAAATGAGTAGATCGCGTACATTCAATCTTCCAGTCTCGTGCAAATTGCTGGATCATGGTGTAAAACTCGGGAGCCGTGACTTCTCCGTGATCAATCCCGGCCTTGCGTACCTGCTCGACCGCTCCCTCTGGCGCGTGGCGCCGCATCCGCTCGAGCAACTCCCCAATTGTTCGTGAGACGTACAAATCGGCGCTGGCGTGGACCACACCCGTCGTTCCTTGGGCAACATGGGCCAGGCAAGTACGAGCCACGAGATCAACTGGGATCTCATTGCAGGCTGCGTGTGAAGGTAGTGTTTGCTCGAGCTTCAGAGGCCCATATTCTGAGTCTCCTAGTAGTATCTGGATGAAAGAATGTATGGGTATGGCGCCATCGCTGCCATAGAGCGGGTAGGGCTCCTCGATTGCCGGTGATATAAGACAGGGTCGCATGATGAGGATGGGGAATTTGTGGTCGCCGCTCAGAAGCAAACATTCAGCCAGGTGTTTGGCCAATGAATAGGGAGCCGCGAATTCTTTCGTATAGGAAGACTTTCCTGTGATGAGAATATTGCCTAGTTCTTCTACCGGGTCTTTGTATAGAGGGTAAACTTGCTCCTTGACCACGCCGTCCGGGAGAAAGCTGGAGACATATGTAGTTGATATGTGAAGGAAGCGTTGCAGTTGAGTGAGACTTTCCAGTAGACCAGCTAGTGTCAGATGGGCAGTGCAATTGATCGGTATAGTCTCAGGAAGATCTCGAGATAAAGCGATGTCACCAGCAGCATTGATAACCACCGTAGTTTCATTTTGAAGGCGTGATAGATTCCCGGGTGAGAGACCGAGGCTAGGCTGGGTCATGTCACCGAGGAAGAACTGGATTTTGCAAGTAGCAATGATCTCCTCTACTTGCTCTGGCATCGACTGCTCCCATGATTCGATTGCCTTTTGAACAGACCCTCTCACCAGCACAAATATTTTAGCGGTTGGAAGTTGAATGGTTAGCTTATATAACAGACAGCCGCCAAGATTCCCAGTTGCTCCCGTGAGGAAGACGACTTGTCCTCGAAACCATTCGATGTCCATATTGATCAACGGTTGTCTGCTGCTTCTGTGTGAAAATTTATGAGTATCGTTAGAAGATGTAAGTCGTGCTAACAAACTTTGTTGGGACAGCCAGATGATGTACCTGGGTAGTCAATCAGACGGCTGGATAAAGTACTGCGTGGCCAGACTTATACCCAAATATAAATTAAATGTAGTAAAGCTTGTAAGCTACGGTCTAATTTCTATTGATACTACATCATTATCTTGCTTTTGCTTCGTTCCTCGCGGGCAGTTAGGCCTAGAATGACTCGGTGCTGACCATTTAGGAAATTCCTCACACCTCAAAACGGCTGGTACGAATCAGAGAATAAATAACTGGCTGTATGTCAGTGAGAATGACATACTTTCCATATCGGACAGAATAAAGTCGACACAAACAGCGCGTCCTGATTCCGAATAACGGAATCAGCGGCCTAATCGGCATAAAACATTACTTCTCAAAGGATGGATGCTGGGTTGTACTCGGCCATATTTCATGATATTTCTATCTTGAGGTCTCTTTGTGTGCCACATCAGGGACCCAATACCTGGACGAGGGTGGGTTACGTTGAACACCCGGAGGGTAGAAGATTGCGTTGGACATCCGGAGGGTTGTAAGCTGCTTTGGCTCTAGATTCTTTTCGGATTGTTCCCGCCTACATCGAATCAGATCCTAATGATGATAGACCGGGGCATAATCTGCTGATGTATCCCATGCTCAGGCTAAGATTTGATCTGTGATCCAAGGCGAAAGTCTCCAGCAACAACATCACTTCTAGAGAAACGAGTTGTTTGTTTCTATGATGCATAGCCTATGATATGCTTGTGTTGATATGGCAAGTAATATAAAGATAGAAGCTCGATGACTCGTTGTGTTGCAGTCACACATATGCGGGTCTGGGTTGGAGTAGTGTTGAACAGATTTAGAAACAATGTTTTCCGAGGACAAGCTGGAGCTACTTTCCTATTTCCGTTCTCTGCAGTGTCCCGGAATATGATCGAGTGGCCACTCATGTACATATCATTCATCCGATTGCGGAGGATTTCGGAGGAAATGTGTTTATTGCGCCTCGCAGAACCAGGATATGTAGGTACATATTGTGTGTAGATTTTGCCTAATCGCCAATTTCTCGTGAATTCTATCGACAGTAAAAGGCGATACACTGCGAGAGCAGAGCTCAAACCATAGTTCAACCTTTATTTTGTCTGCTCTGCAGCCATCTTGATCCAGTCTCCAACTACTCATCATTCGACCAAAAATGAACTCAACAACTGGACAAGGACAATCATCATGCAGAAACCACGAGTATGATTTCAGGGAGCCAATTGCCGTCATTGGTATGGCAATGCGGCTACCAGGTGGTGTTCGATGTGGGGATGAATTTTGGGAAATGCTCGTGAAGAAACGAGATGGATTTTGTGAAGCTCCTCCTTCGCGCTGCTCTAGAGAGGCGTCTAGCAGTCCTGATTGTGGAGATCCGAGCGAAAGGAAAAAAGGGTTCTTTTTGCAAGAAGATCCAGCTTATTTTGACGCCTCGTTCTTTTCTGTTCCTCCCCACGAGGCGGCACGCCTAGACCCCCAGCAACGGCTCTTGCTAGAGGTGGTCTGGGAGTGCCTGGAGAACTCGGGGGAGACCAAGTGGCGGGGTGAGAAAATCGGTTGCTTTGTGGGGGTCTTTGGCGAAGAATGGCTAGAAATGTCGCATAAAGATCCTCAGCATCTGAATCAGATATATCCAATCGCCACCGGTGGTTTTGCGTTAGCAAACCAAGTTTCGTATCGGTTTGATCTCATGGGTCCGAGGTGAGTGCAGTCCGTTGTCTTTATGTCAGGAAACTCTGACCCATTGTAGCATGACCATACAAACGGCATGCTCTTCGTCCCTGGTATGCTTGCATGAGGCCTGCCAAGCGCTTCGATCTGGAGAGTGTTCAACAGCTCTAGTGGGAGGGACAAGCCTTATATGGGGGCCAACCATGACAGATGCCATGACCAAAAACATGGTTTTGTCACCAAGTGGTATATCTCATACCTTTGATGCTGAAGCAGATGGCTATGGTCGTGGTGAAGGGATCAACTGCATATACCTCAAGCCATTGCGGGATGCACTTCGTGACAACGACCCTATCCGTGCCATCATCCGCTCCACAGTGGCCAACCACGACGGCAAGACCCCTAACTTTTCTCAACCATGTCCTATATCTCAGGAGAGGTTGATCCGGCACGCATATCAGATTGCAGGGATTGAAGCCATCCACGAGACACCTGTTTTTGAATGCCATGGGACTGGAACAGCCGTCGGCGATGTCATCGAAGCATCGGTTGTTGCAAAGATGACCCAGGGAGAAGCAACATATATCAGTGCGGTTTGTATTCTCTACTTCCAGGGCTGTCTATACTGAATCTCAAGGCTTATGTTGCACATTTCACAGGTCAAACCAAATGTCGGTCACTCTGAGGGTGCCTCTGGCATCACCAGCATCATCAAATCCATTTTATCCCTTGAACACAAGACCATCGCACCCAATATCCATTTCAAAACGCCAAATCCCCAAATTCCATTCAGCGAGGCAAATCTCCACGTACCCCTAGAACCGACTCCGTGGCCTGCGGGCAGGCCCCAAAGGATCAGCGTAAATTCGTTCGGTATCGGGGGATCCAATGCCCATGCTATCCTGGAGTCCGCCTCTGCGATCTCTTCAAAGATTCAAGCAACCTCACTTGGACTTTCCAATCCACAGCTCTTGCTCCTTTCTGCGCAAACTGCAGACACTCTTCGCAAGCGCATTGGACAGATCACCGACTACGTAAAGAATCACCCAGACCGCCTGCATGATCTTTCGTACACTTTGGCTGCACGACGATCGCATCTTTCCCATCGGGCATTTGCCGTGGTACAGCCGAATAACCCCTTTCTAGATGATGCAGCATTTTCGATCTTTAATACTAGTTCCCCAAATGTCACCTTTGTGTTTACAGGCCAGGGAGCTCAATGGCCCGGAATGGGGCTAAGGCTTTTGTCTAGCTTTCCAAACTTCAAAGACGATATCAAAACGATGGATGAAGCGCTCCAACAGCTCCCTGATGGCCCAAATTGGTTATTACATGGTCAGATACAAGGCCATACCCTTGACATTACGACAATACTTTGACTAACGTACTTGCCAGATGAGCTAAGTCAAGAGAGTTCAATTTCTCGTGTCCACGAAGCTGAGTTCTCTCAGCCTCTTTGTGTTGCGCTCCAAATCGGCCTGGTAAATATTCTTTGGAGCTGGGGGATCAAACCTTCCACAGTTGTTGGGCATTCGAGTGGAGAGATTGGAGCCGCGTATGCTGCCGGAGCCATTTCGATGAGAACGGCTATCGTCCTAGCATATTATCGGGGAAAGGTTGCACAACCACTGGACGGCTTAGGCGCTATGGTAGCCGTTGGGCTTTCTCCGGACGAAGTTGCGCCATTCGTAACACCTGGAGTGGTTGTTGCTTGCCACAATAGTCCACATAGTGTCACTATATCAGGAGACAACGACTCAGTTGACTGTGCGATCAAGAACATAAAGGCGGCAAATTCAGATACACTATGCCGGCGGCTTACGGTTAAAATTGCTTATCATTCTGGTAAATTGCCCCCCAACACCCTGCTGGGGTGTCTTTCCACTTACAATATTTGCAGACCACATGAAACAGATTGGCTTTGAATATGAAGATCGTATCTCTACCCACATCGAACATGAGCAGGGAATGATTCCCTTCTACTCCAGTGTGACTGGCGACACGATCACCGACCCTCACAAACTAGATGCATCGTACTGGCGACAGAACCTGGAATCACCGGTACTGTTCACAGAGGCTATCCAAAATTTGCCCACTAGTGGAACCCCGGTCTTCCTAGAAGTTGGGCCACACTCAGCCCTTGCCGCCCCTCTGCGACAACTCTTCCGCACTCTGGCAGCGAAGTCACCAGTATATATCCCCACCTTGTTTAGATATGACGAGGATGTCCAAGGCCAGCTACTACGAACATCAGGACAGGTCTATGCAAGCGGTATGAGAGTCAATCTGTCAAACATTATCGATCCGGGGAATACGTTGACGGACCTTCCACCTTATCCTTGGCAGCACGATCGCTCCTACTGGAGCGAGAGTCGACTGAGTAGGGAATGGAGGCAGCGCAAGATCCCGCATCATGAAATCCTCGGTTCACGGGTTGTTGATACGACCGACCATGAGCCTTCTTGGCGCAATCTAGTCAGGTTGGACAACGTGCCCTGGCTTGTGGACCATGTAATTCAAGGATCCGTCACATTCCCTGGCGCTGGATTTGTCGCTATGGCAGGCGAGGCAGTCAAGCAGCTGTACCCCGGCAACGATTGTTATTCGGTGCGCAACACAACATTTATAACGCCACTGTTACTCCACGAAGGAGATCAGATCGAGATGGTGACTAGCCTGAGTCCGGTCGAAGTGGCTGACAGGGTCTCATCTGGCTGGTATGGCTTCAGAATCATGGTTCATGACGGAGAACGATGGACGATGCATTGTCAGGGTCAAGTAAGAGTTGGGTCCGATCATCCTCCAGAGAAATTCCCAATCTCTTCCTATAAGAGAGTTGTGCCATCTGAAAGTTTGTACCGAGTTCTTCAAAGGAGCGGGATAGATTACGGCACTCAGTTCCAGGGCCTAGAGGAGATCACAGCCGATCCCACTGGGCCAAGGGCAACTGCGAATGTTGTGGGTAACCGCGGGCTGCCTGGGAGCAACTATTCGCTACACCCCACGGCGATTGATCAATGCCTCCAACTTATGGGTGTGGCCTGCTCTCAGGGCTTGCTTCGACATCTCACAACAATTTATATTCCAGCTATGATAGATTCGTTGTTTGTCGGACCAGGTGGTGAACCTATGCCAGCAAGCGCCCAAACCCAGAGTGGCACAAGGGATGGCCAGCTAGGCGATGTTATTGCCATGCTTGGTGATAGAGTGGTCCTGTCCATTCAAG